AAAACCACATGATTATCTCAATTGATGCAGAGAAGGCCTTTGACAAAATTCAACAGCTTTTATGCTAAAAACCCTCAATAAACTAGGTATTAATGGAATGTATCTCAAATAATAAAAGCAATTTATGACAAACCAACAGCCAATATCATACTGAATGGGCAAAAACTGGAAGCATTCCCTTTGAAATCTGACACTAGACAAGGATGCCCTCTCTCACCACTCCTATTTAATATAGTATTGGAAGTTATAGCCAGAGCAATCAGGCAAGAAAAAGAAATAAAGGGTATTCAAATAGGAAAAAAGGAAGTCAAATTGTCTCTATTTGCAAACGACATGATTGTATATCTACAAGACCCCATCATCTCAGCCCCAAATCTCCTGAAACTGATAAATAACTTCAGCAAAATCTCAGGATACAATATCAATGTACAAAAATCACAAGCATTCCTATATACCAATAACAGATTTAAAGAGAGCCAAATCAAGAATGAACTGCCATTCACAATTGCTACAAAGAGAATAAAATACCTAGGAATACAACTAACAAGGAACATAAAGGACCTCTTCAAGGAGAACTACAAACCACTGCTAAACGATATAAGAGAGGACACAAACAGATGGAGAACCATTCCATGCTCATGGTTAGGAAGAATCAATATAGTCAAAATGGCCATACTGCCCAAAGTAATTTAAAGATTCAATGCTATCCCCACCAAGCTTCCAATGACCTTCTACACAGAACTGGAAAAAAACATCTTAAACTTCATATGGAACCAAAAGAGACCCCACATAGCCAAGTCAATTCTAAGCAGAAAGAACAAAGCTGGAGGCCTCACACTACCAGACTTCAAACTATACTACAAGGCTGCAGTAATCAAAACAGCATGGTACTGGTACCAAAACAGAGATATAGACCAATGGAAAAGAACAGAGGCCTCGGAGGCAACACCACACATCTACAATCATCCAATCTTTGACAAACCTGACAAAAACAAGTAATGGGGAAAGGATTCCCTGTTTAATAAATGGTGTTGGGATAACTGGCTAGCCATGTGCAGAAAGCAGAAACTGGACCCCTTCCTGACACCTTACACTAAAATTAACTCCAGATGGATTAAAGACTTAAACTTAAGACCTAACACCATAAAAACCCTAGAAGAAAACCTAGGCAAAACCATCCAGGACATAGGCATAGGCAAGGACTTCATGACTAAAACACCAAAAGCATTGGCAACAAAAGCCAAAATAAACAAATGGAACTTAATCAAACTCCACAGCTTCTGCACAGCAAAAGAAACAGTCATTAGAGTGAATTGGCAACCAATAGAATGGCAAAAAGTTTTTGCAATCTACCCATCTGACAAAGGGCTGATATCCAGAATCTACAAAAAAGTGAAACAGATTTACAAGAAAAAACAAATAAGCCCATTCAAAGGATATGAACAGACACCTTACAAAAGAAGACATACATGAGTCCAACAAACATATGAAAAAATGCTCATCATCACTGGTCATTAGAGAGATGCAAATCAAAACTACATTGACATACCACCTCATGCCAGTTAGAATGGTGATCATTAAAAAATCTGGAGACAACAGATGCTGGAGAGGATGTGGAGAAATAGGAACACTTTTACACTGTTGGTGGGAGTGTAAATTAGTTCAATCATTGTGGAAGACAGTGTGGTGATTCCTCAAGGACCTAGAAATAGAAATTCCATTTGACCCAGCAATCCCATTAGTGGGTATATATCCAAAGGATTATAAATCGTTCTAGTATAAGGACACATGCACACTAATGTTCATTGCAGCACAATTTACAATAGCAAAGACATGGAACCAACCCAAATGCCCATCGATGATAGACTGGACAGGGAAAATGTGGCACATATATACCACGGAATACTATGCAGCCATCAAAAACAATGAGTTCATGTCCTTTGTAGGGACATGGAAACCATCATTCTCAGCAAACTGATACAAGAACAGAAAATCAAACACCACACGTTCTCACTCATAGGTGGATGTTGAATAATGAGGACACATGGACAGGGAGGGGATCATCACACACTGGGGTCTGTCAGGGGGAAATATGGGAGGGACAGCAGCAGGTGGGGAGTTGGGGAGAGATAGCATGGGGAAAAATGCCAGATATAGGTGAAGGGGAGGAAGGCAGCAAATCACACTTCCATGTGTGTACCTACACAACAATCTTGCATGTTCTTTACATGTATCCCAAAACCTAAAATGCAATAAAAGAAAAGAAAAGGGGCCTAGTATGCCTGGTCAATGCACTATGAAGGATGGTTGATATCAAGTGTGCAAACAAAGAAACAAAACCAATTTTATTCACAGATGATATTCTTGCCCACACAGAAGATCCAAGACAATCAATGAATAACAACAACAAGAAGAAAACAAATATAATTACAAAATGCAAGGTGTTGGATCATGATCACTATTCAAAGTCAAGATACTCCTACATGCCATCAATAAACAACTGGAATACTGAATTCTAAACATTCAATTTATGATGGCATTAAAATCCTTAAAATACCCATGAATAAAAGCATAAAACTGAAGATATGGATTTAAAAACACTGTGATGGATAAACTGAGAACTAGAACAGATTAACACTTTCATATGGGATCTTAGTATATTACATATTAATGGGAAAAGATGAGTGTATTTTTGCTCCAAATAACAGAAAACCAACCACCTTAAACAACAAAAATTATCATCTCACAAAACGAGCCATTTTGAGGTAAGTCTCATAGCCATCATTGAGGACTCAGAAAGTTTTTATTTTTTCTTTTGCCTTAACAGAAAAAATACATAATGAAGAAATAAGCTCCTTTTTCTGCCTCTTGATGTATGTTTGTGACACTTTAAACATTTTGTGATAATGAAGAAAGCTCACTGACATCCCGAAGAGGACATAGCTTGGCGACTTACCTGGTTCTACATTTTTGGTGATATTTGGAAAACTCAACAATGTATAACAGGAGACATATTCCAGGGTATTCACTGCATAATTCTTTCTAGTCTCACATACATACACACACACAACACACACATGGGCACAAATGCAACAGCCTAACCAAACGTCGGTATAGATTGCATAAATGAATTGTATATTTATGAGATGGTTAAAAGGAATGAGCTAGATCTACATACACCACTTTTATTTATTTATTTATTTATTTTTGAGGTGGAGTCTCCCTCTGTCACCCAGGCTAAAGTGCAGTGGCACGATCTCAGCTCACTGCAACCTCCACCTTCTGGGTTAAAGCAATTCTCCTGCCTCAGCCTCCCAAGTAGCTGGGACTATAGATGCCCGTCACCATACCCCACCTAATTTTTATATTTTCAGTAGAGACAGGAATTTGCTGTGTTGGCCAGGTTGGTCTTGAACTCCTGACCTCGAGTGATCCACCCACCTCAGCCTCCCAAAGTGCTGGAATTATAGGTGTGAGCCACCACACCCAGCCCATCACTTTGGATTATCTTAAAAATAGAACCTTGGGGCCAGGCACAGTGGCTCACATTGACCAGCCTGGCCAATATGGCGAAATCTTGTCTACAAAAATTAGCTGGGCATGGTGGTGCATGCCTGTAGTCCCAGTTACTTGGGAGGCTGACGCAGAAGAATCTCTTAAAACCGGGAGGCAGAGGTTGCAGTGAGCCAAGATTGTGCCATTACACTCCAGCCTGGTGACAAAGCAAGACTCTATCTCAAAATAATAATAATAATCTTAAGAGGAAAAAAGCAAGCTATTTACGGATATTTACGGTGTAATATCACTTATGTAAAATTAAAACCCAGAGCATAATGCTCTGCATTATTTATGAAAAAGTAAATACTTAATAAAAATATAAAAACAATGAATTGAGCTTGTAATTATCTCTAGGGAAAGCAAAAGGAGAATCAGATTAGGGATGGTTACATAGCATCAAGAATGCTTCAACTTTATCTCTAGTTTTATTTCTTTAATGAAAAAGGATCCATGATAAATATGAAAATAATGATAAATCATATTGAGTCTATGTGGAAAGAATGGATACCTGTCATTTTATGTACATTTATGCTTTATAATCCTCTATCATTTTTAAAGTACTATATATCTTTTTAAATACTTTATAATTTAAAAAAAATACATCTTTTTAAAAAAGTTTCCCATGGAAATATTTCATTAGTCATGAAAAGTTTCTATCCCACACACAAATCTCTGTATAAACACTACAAATAGAGTTCACTTCCTTCATCTTTACTAAATATCAGTTTAAGGCACAGGCCACATATTGTTTAAGGATTAGAAACTAGGTAGTAGGCCGGGCGCGGTGGCTCAAGCCTGTAATCCCAGCACTTTGGGAGGCCGAGGCGGGTGGATCACGAGGTCAACAGATCGAGACCATCCTGGTCAACATGGTGAAAGCCCGTCTCTACTAAAAATTACAAAAAATTAGCTGGGCACGGTGGCGCGTGCCTGTAATCCCAGCTAATCAGGAGGCTGAGGCAGGAGAATTGCCTGAACCCAGGGGGCGGAGGTTGCGGTGAGCAAGACTGCACCATTGCACTCCAGCCTGGGTAACAAGAGCGAAACTCCGTCTCAAAAAAAAAAAAAAAAGAAACTAGGTAGTATCAGAAGAAATGTAAATAGCAATAATACTTGACAGAAAAAGTAGCGACGATCAAATAAAGATGCCATGAAGAGCAAAAAAGTTCCAAATGGCATAAAATTCGAGGTTTCCAGAGGTTAGTCCAATGCTCAAAAAACATCCTTAGTACTGAATGAGAATCCAAAGATGTTACTGTTAAAATATTTTTTTAAACAGGTATGAAAAAAGTTTCTACTTGAATTTTAACTTGGTGGCACTTAGAGAATATGAGGCAGGGTGCGTGTCAACAATATGATTTATTACTAAGGCTATCAGGGTTTTCCCCTGGAAGTCAAAACGTTGATTATTAAGACCCCACAAAGTTCCTATAGCAACATACCTGAAGAAGGAGCCTTTCAAAAGCCAGAAAATTGTCCCACTTGGCAGTCTGCGGGTGTTTCAGCGTTTGAGCTGTGGCCAGCCCAAGCTGGAGGAGTCCACAATGATTCATTAGAGCTTTGAGGTTGTTCTTGAAGAGCTGAATATAGGACATGAGCTGTCCCGGCGTGACTCTCCCTGGAAAAACATAATAATTTATCAGTGTGTCTGGGATTAATACACAAATAATGAGAAGGATTCCATTAATAATACCACTATCATATTTGCACAGAACTTCAGAATTTACTGCAAGCTGTCCTAAGCTATTGTGATTCTTACAACAATATAGTGACAAGAGCAAAATTGGTACTATTATTTATACTTGCATTTTGCAAGTCAGGAAACAGGGATAATAGTTAAGGGATCTGGCCAAGGTCATATTGCTAGTAAAATTCATTTTACCAATATGTAATACTCTGTAAATAAGTTTTCAAATATAATCATACAAATAAATATTTGTTGAGCTCAATTTGGAGTACCTCTTTATGACATATGACATCTCAATCTAAGAGGGAAAAAGGCATGATTTCTAACAGTTTGTATATGTACATAAAATAAGATGAGAAATCGGTTATGACTATACCCAAAACTTAAGCATTGATGTCAGTGAGTTCATGACAATATTCATGAGGATAAAAGCTGTTATATGGAACAAAAATGCATTGAGAACTAGGGTGTCAAAGCCACTGGAAGAGGAGGTATCAGAAGAAAGGGCTGTTGTATATAACAGCACATGCTGTTACACAGACATTGCTACAATGGTTGCCTACATTTAGAAAAAGAGAGCCTATAAAAGGAGAGAGATTGTACAAAACACATGGATATCTACCAAAACACGAGCTGTTGAGGATTCACTGCTTTAGAGCCCCTAACTCCAAGTTTTGCTGATAGCAGTCTTTCCACTGAGTCTCCTCCCACTCTCTAGTCTGTGAAATTTCATTCCTGCCATTCCTCCATGCTATGCACAAAGATCCTGGACACCAGATTATCCCCACCAGGCAAGAAGGCAATGGGGCCAAACACAGATGCAAGTCAAGTAGTTCATTGCTATACGTTTCACCCATGCCATGTTTATGGGTTGTTCTTTGATACTGAAATCCAAGTTTATTTGCTTGTTATATCTAGGTTTTTAAATGTTTGGTGATGAAACCACCTCCATTTATTTAGAAATTTACACAGTGCTTACACAAACACGCCCTTTTCTGATTCTCATGGCAATTCCTTGAGATAGCAAACGAGGTTTGTGCTGCATCTGTTAGCCCTCCCTGTCATGCTGAGAATGTAATGTCTTACCCAATGCTAAATGGCAGATATCACTTAATAAATGGTTTTTGCTAAAGATCATAATACACTAAAAATAAAGACTCTGCCACACAAAACTTAAAAGCATGCAACATATCTTTCTATCTTTTCATTAAATTTTTTTAAGAGATTAAGAATTTTTAAGTTATTCACTACCAGTTTATCAGGGTAAGCGTTTAAAAAAAAAAAGAAGATTGGGAATGGTAAGTAGGAGGGTGAGTCTCATGAGTTTCTTTAGTCCCATGGTAAAGCATGGGTTTGTTCCTGAGTCTCAAAGCAGCAAGCTAACAATTTGCTTGCTCAAATACTCATAGGAAAAAGTCTCATTAATACTTTGATTTCTTTATCAGGTTTATTAAGGCATTTTCTATATACAGTAAAATTCACCCTTTTCTAGTATACAGTTCTATGAATTCTGACAAGTGCAGATGGTTGGATAACCACTGTCAGAATCGAAATATAGAATATTCCCATTATTCCATCAGTAGCTGAGCATGGCGGTGCTCACCTATAATCCCAGCTACTCAGGAAGCTGAGGCAGGAGAATTACTTGAACCCAGGAAGTGGCAGTTGCAGTGAGCTGAGATCATGTCACTGCACTCCAGCCTGGGTGACAGAGTGAGACTCCATCTCAAAAAAATATATATCAAATTTTTTATCCAATCAGCATTTCTTAGCTGAAACCTAGACTCAGCCACCATATTTGTGTAATGTCACCTTCTCATATAAGGCAAATGATCTAAAGGAACAATAAGTATCTCCTAACAGAAAATATCAATACCACATTACCATGAATTTAGTAGTTATTCACCTTTTCTACTCTGTTATATTCCCCTTTGTATATCCTTTTTTACACATGCATGCACTAATCCTTTGTTAGGCATAAATCATGACAGCAGATTTTTTTTCCCTAAAAATCCCTAAGAGGTTAACTGGAATTTAAGTAAAAAAGTACTTCAAACAGATGCTCTAAAACAAAAAGGCCAGTGACATTTTTTAAAACTTTAAATTTAACCGTAACCTTAAAGAAAACAATATTGAATTCAACTGAATTCAAATGTACTATGAAGCTATATTAGTCCATTCTCACAACATTATAAAGACATAACCAAGACTGGGTAATTTATGAAGGAAAGAGATTTAATGGCCTCACAGTTCTGCATGACTGGGGAGGCCTCAGGAAACTTACAATCATGGCAGAAGTGGAAGCAAACATGTCCATCTTCACAAGGTGGCAGGAGACAGAAAAATTAGTAGCAAAAAGGGAACAGCCCTTTATAAGACCATCAGACCTTGTGAGAACTCACTCATTATCAAGAGAACAGCATGGGGGAAACTGCCCCCATTATACAATTACCTCCACTTGGTCTCTCCCTGGGGATTATGGAGACTACAATTCAACATGAGATTTCGGTGGGGACACAGAGCCTAACCACATCAGAAGCTATTCTTCCAATTACCGCATATACCTGACAAATTATAGCTTTCTCTGTTTTCTGGCTGGTAAAATACACTTAAAATATTTACATATATATAATTCTTTATTGGCACTCTTAAAACACAGACTATTTTATCATAGTCATTCTGTCAGATTTGATTTAATGGCAAAACTGTTATGATGGGAAACAGCAACCACCATCAGAAATTTTCTCTAGAGGCTGTGAGTGGTGGTTCATGCCTATAATCTCAGAGCTTTGGAAGGCCAAGGCAGGCAGACTGCTTGAGGCCAGGAGTTTGAGACAAGCCTGGCCAACATGGGGAAACCCCATCTCTACTGTAAGTGCAAAAATTAGCCAGGCATAGCATCATATGCCTGTAATCCAAGCTACTCAGGAGGCTGAGGCACGAGAATTGCCTGAGCCCAGGAGACTCAGGTTGCAGTGAGCCAAGATCACAGCATTGCACTCCAGCCTGAGTGACAGAGGGAAACATTGTCAGGAAGGAAGGAAGGAAGGAAGGAAGGAAGGAAGGAAGGAAGGAAGGAAGGAAGGAAGGAGGGAGGGAGGGAGGGAGGGAGGGAGGGAGGGAGGGAGGGAGGGAGGGAGGGAGGGAGGGAAAGAGAGAAAGAGGGAGGGGGAGAGAGAAAGAGAGAGAGGGAGGGAGGGAGGGAAAGAGAGAGAAAGAGGGAGGGGGAGAGAGAGAAAGAGAGAGAGGGAGGGAGGGAAGAGCGGGATGAAGGAAGGAAGGAAGGAAAGTTTGTCTAGAATAGCACATTTAGCAAAGGAAAAAGTGTAAAACCCTTGATATAAGTCATATTGTCATTGCATGTGTTTTATTCACTCAATTCTGCAAACACGGATGAAAATCCAGTGTGTAGAATTTGAATGAACAGATAATATATGTTTTAAGACTTGCATTCTTAGAAATCTAATGTCAGCATTTCATTTTTCTCTTTTTCAATCATTTTCTAATATAGCAAAGGCAATGTATATTAGAATATTTAAATATAATATATTTGGCTGAAACTCTGGTTTATTATTTTATATGCAACTGCCAAAAAGGAATTATGTCAATATTATACAAAAGTCACATGTGTTCATTTGTAACTTGTTCCCCATTATTTTACCATTTTGTGCTACCAAAGACAGCAGCTAAACACAAAGTAAGTGAAGCACAGCTGAACACAGCAAGCTACGAGAGGAACGAGCACCCTATGAAGCGGCCATTCACCCTTGCTTTTCCTCTTTGCTCTGCTGGCGGTGTGCCCTGTTTTGGAGTTGCTTCCTGTTTTATTCAACCTGATCTCCAATGCATTTTGCTTTTGACTTCCTAACCAAACAACCTCAACTCCTCTTACACCTTCCAACAAGCTACTGTAAACTCTTTTGCTCACAGAAATTCCTATATATGCTGTAACATTGATTTATAGAAATTTAGCATGTCTTTTTAACTGGGCTAATATTTTTATCAAGAGTCTTAATGTCTTTGTAAGTGCTCTGATTACAAAGTTGCATGGATTTTTGAATGGGCTCTTGCTAATACACCCGTTCTGATTCCTAGTATATGTTGCAAAACTCAAGTTTTTCAGGAATGCATATATATTGTACCAAAAAACCCATACTGATACATAGACAGGCGTGGCAACTTTTCTAAGATTGATTAAATTTTTGGTTGGTAGACAGCACCATGAAAGAAAACCTCAAATGTTAATTCAACAGTTGGCACAAGAGAGCCTAGAATCTTGAGTATGCCAGATGGCTTCGGAGTTTTGTAAATAATAATGTGCAAAAGACTCAAGAGGCTACATTGAGCACATGTGTTTATATCAGCTCCTCAGGAGATCCATCAGAATGATAAAAACAAATAAAACGGGGTAGAAATGCACTCAAGAAGATCACCGAGATAGTCTATAAGCAGACAAAAGATTTCAACACCTTTTCCCCTCACATGTTTGTTACATCTGGAACTTACATTATATATGTTAGTTTTCTTTTTTGCTCTGTCAACTAAGCAGTATCTTATAGCTGTTCATGTTCTAAGCAGAGGATACTACGTCTCTTGCCCTTCTCTTTGTTTCTTCTTTTCCCCTTGCATCTTTTAAATCATCTGTGTCTTTATTTTTACTTGGTCAAGATTTATAGCACTTATATTTTTTTCCATAACCATAATAAATTATGGTTTTACTAAAGTATTTTGTGGTTTTTCTGCAGTTTGATTCTAAAAGTTCAAAATCAATCAATAGCATTTACAACAATCAATTATATATCATAAACTGTATAACAATTCCATTCTCCTCTACTTTGAAGACTCATGGTGATTGGGTCTAATTTAGAGTTTTTTCAAACTTTTATTTTAGGTTCAGGGTTACAGGTGCAGGTTTGTTATGAGATTTTTTT